AATCTGCTGTGAAGAAGAGACTCGTGTACCAATGACCCTAAGCTAGAGGAGAATGTGTTATGGGATATAATAATAATGCGATTAACAAAGTGCTTTCACAGATATGCTCAGCTTTACGACAACTCAGTCAGTAAGATAGGTGTTAAAATCTCCCTGTAGTGATAAGGAAACTTAAATGACTTGTCCAAGTTTAAGCAATCATAAGCGATAAATGTAAGGTTTAATCCCAGGGCTTTTTCTACCGTATCCCTGTGCCCCTAATATAGTACTACAATAAGAGATATTGGGGAAATGTGAGAGCATGGAAGAGAGATTAAAAATAACTTGAGGGTAAAAGGAGTGGGTCATAAATGCTTCCCAGAGAAGGTGGCATTTAAACAAGGCCGTGAAATATGTAAGATTTTAACGGGCCTTCAGGGGGTGGGGCAGGCATTCCAGGCTTAGGGCACAATATGGACAAAAATAAGGAGGCAAGATAATGCATATACAGAGAATAGTTCATGGAACATTTTGACTAAAGTGTAAGGTCAGGAGCTGGGATTGATTGATGGGGGCAAGGAATTAGCAGAAGACAAGCTTGAAAATTAGGTCAAGGAGCAAATCAGAGAGGACTTTCAAGGCCATATTAAAGAGTTAAGACTTTATTTCCAGGCAATGGAGAGCACCAAAGGCTAGACGAATGATATCATCAGAGCTATTCTTTAGGCAATTTAATTTGGAACCAGTGTAAAGGAACCATTTATGTAACGGTTCAGGCAATGGGCACTTGCTATGTGCCAGGCAGAGTGCTAGGTGCTGAGAATACAGAAGTGACTTAAACGACAGGCTCTGCCCTAAATAAACTTCAAGTCTGGTAGAATAGATTAGGGGGAGGAGAACCTGAGACAGCAGTTGGAAAGCAAATCTCTGTTGGATCCACCTTCAGAATATATCACCTCCCACTGTTACCCCCCAGCTGTCAGTTCTCACTTGGACCATTAAGGAGGCCTCCTTAACTGGACCCCTGCTCCATCCCTGTCTGTCCTACGGCAGCCACACAGCACTGTTCTCAGTGCTCCTAGAGCTGCCCATCATGCTGAAAATCAAATCAAGAGTCTGTGTCGTGGCCGACTGGCCTCATGATGTGTCTGGCCCCCCGACTTCTTTTCTCACCTCATCTCCTTCCACTGCCCTCTCAGTCACCCATTCCAGCAACACTGGCCTCCTTGCTATTCCTTGAACACATCAAGCCCGGTTGCTTCTCAGGACTTTGCTGTTCCAGCTGCCTGGAAGGTTCCTCCCCTAGTTTTCCAAATGGCCTGCTCCATCCCTTCATTCTGGAGAGGTTTTCCCAGACCACCGCATACCAAAAGCCCTCTACCCATCACTCTGCTTTATTGTTTTTTAAAGACGTATTCTAACATATGTTTATTTTCTGGCTCCACCACTAGAATATACACTTAATAAAGGTAGAGGTTTTATTTTCTTCACTGATGTATCACCACAGCCCATCACAGTTCTTAGCCAAAAGGGTCTCAACAAATATTTGAGAATGAATGAAAGAATGAATGAATGAAGCTATTGCAATAGCCCAGACGAACGCAAAATAAAGCAGGAGGAATGAAAAGAGGATGAATTCAAGAGATTTCAAGAGATCCCATGCTGCCTGCTCTTCCCTAACTGGCCCTTTCCTAGGCAACTAAGCTGGGGAAAAGGGGGTGGCTGGTGAGAGGTATTTTTAAGGCTCACTTGCTTATACAGGAAACTGCAGACGATAAATGGTTTTCTCAGCCTTTCTCCAGTGAGGTCTCCCTGCCTCTATCTCCTCATGGCTCTCCAGGCCTTTTTCATTCCCCTCCACCAGCTGAGTGCTGGCAGTGTTGGTTTACTGTTTGCAGTGTTGGGTACCTGCTTGGAAATTGCTTAGTCCAAACAAACAGTTACTGAGCATTTGCCATGTGCAAGCAGTTTCATAGGTACAGAGGATACAGAGAGAGGGAGGGAGGGAAGGGAGAGAGAGAAACCCTACCTAAGGAGTTTAAATCTAGGGTAGGGAGACAGACAAATTGGATCATTTTCATAAAATGGGATTTCAGTGCTGCACAGAGGGAAGCCCAAAGGAAGGGCCCTTAACCCAGGGAAATAGTCCTAGAGGAGGTAACACTGAAGGTGAGTAAGAATTAGCCAAGCACAGAAGAATTGGAAAGGCATTCCAGAGGAGGGGAACAGTATCAACAAAGGCAAAGAGGCACGTAACATTACATAACAGAGAGTGACAGAATTTCACTATTATAAAAGCATAAAGTGTGAGTTAGAGAGTCTTTTTTTTTTTTTTAACATCTTTATTGGGGTATAATTGCTTTACAATGGTGTGTTAGTTTCTGCTTTATAACAAAGTGAATCAGTTATACATATACATATGTTCCCATATCTCTTCCCTTTTGCATCTCCCTCCCTCCCACCCTCCCTATCCCACCCCTCCAGGCAGTCACAAAGCACAGAGCGGATCTCCCTGTGCCATGCAGCTGCTTCCCACTAGCTATCTACCTTACGTTTGTTAGTGTATATATGTCCATGCCTCTCTCTCGCCCTGTCACAGCTCACCCTTCCCCCTCCCCATACCCTCAAGCCCGTTCTCCAGTAGGTCTGTGTCTTTATTCCTGTCTTACCCCTAGGTTCTTCATGACATTTTTTTTTTCTTAAATTCCATATCTTAGGAGTAGCAGGAACACCATTTGGGGGTTTCAGCCAGAAAACATGTACCTGTCCCATAGTAGTTCTCGCTAGCCTCCAGTTGCCTGAACACAGACCTACCCCTACCAATGGGATCTGGCTCTTCCACAAGTGCCAAGTGTGCAGGGAGAAAGCAAGGAGGGCTATCCCAGCCCAGGAAGGATGGGGGTACTTCTCTGCTCTGGGGACAGAGCTGTAGTACTGACCCTCCTTCCCCATGAACCCATGTCCAGCTGCCACCCAAGGGGAAGCTTCGGAGCCTGTGTAGCCAGCATGTGGAAAAGCTGCAAACCTTCCAGCATCTCCACCCCATCGTGGTCCAAGCTGCTTTCCCTCCACTCTACAAGGAACTCTTCAGCACTGAAATCGAGTCACCTGAGGGGCTGTCCAAGTGACCTGGAGGAGGGACTCCGTTCCCTTCCCTAGAGCCTCGTGGCTCACCTTCCCCTTGGCCTTTTCCTTTCCTGTGTGCCCTGGAGGGTGGTCTCTGCCTGTTTGGGGGGGGTGAGCAAATGCGGAGACTGGCTTTCTGCCCACCAGCCTGCCTGGCAGCGGGCCAAGAGCTAGAGGGTGGGGATGGAGGAACACCATCTCCAGCCTCAGCTTTGTCCTGGCTCCTCTCAGCTTCTGGGAGACCTGGGGTGGGATACAAGGACCTCTAGGAGGACCTAGGTGTCCTCAGGACAACAGGGGGATCCAGGACACCCTGGACAAACAGAACTCAACTCTGGGCTCAGAAGCTAAGAATAGGCCTTTGAAATACCTCATTGCATTTCCCTGGGGGCTTTGGCTGGGGAGATGCATCAAGCTCAGAGACTGGCATCTGGAGCCCAGAAGGACCTGTATATAACATGAATCTGGATCGTTAGATTTTCTGCCTTCCCCCTTCCTCCCAGCTCAGCAAGGATATTGTTGGGCACCCTGGGGTCTAAAAGAGACTAGATACGTGGAGGGTAAGAATGGGATGGGGATAAGGGAGGGGCTGGGGATAATATTTTTATGGGATTTGGGTATAAGGATAGGGTATGATGAAGGCCAAGAGCATCACAGACAGAGAGACAGAGAGTTAGAACTCAAACTTCTTATGTGCACTTTAAAAATAGACTTTAGTGGTTACACAAATGTGATCAGAGACACATGTCCACATACATGTGAAACACATACTCACACACTTAACCTGTAGTCATGCAGCTCTATAGACGCATTTAATCTGACACAATCTCTGTCTTCCTTGAGGTCACAGATCAGAGGAATTTAGTGGCCTCAGGGAAGATCCCAATCCTGAGGAACCCCAGAACATTTTCACCTGGTGCCCCAGTTCACCAATCTTAGATGTGGGGTGGCCCAAACTCTATCCCAGCCCCAGCTGTCTTCTGTCAAAGGAAACCCTAAAAGAAGAGATGGCTGGACACAGTCAGAAGGCCAAGGACAGACCCTCGGAGGACTGTCTGGGCCCCATCCTCCAGTCCTGCTCTCGTTATGGCGAAAGGCAGCAGATGCGATTCCACCACCCTGTGCCTGGGTACCACCAAGTCTGTCAGGGTGAAGGAGACCTGTTTCTCCAGCCGCGATCTTGCCCAAGAACTTCTCTTGCCTTTATAAATAGCTGTGAGCCCTCCTCTGAGGGATAAACAGCAGGTGGTCAGGAGGGTTGTTGTTTTTTTTTCCTCTCAGGGCAGGGTAAACATAAACCCTAACCTGTGCCATTCTTTATAAAACGACTTCAAAGGCAAGAGGTGTTGCTGCTCTGCAATCTCATTCCTGTGTGAGGACCCAGGTTCCCAGCCCTGCCAGCCGTCCACACTGTGAGGATTCTGCACCCACCCTGAGCAGTCCCCCACTGAGGCGTGGGGGCTGGTCCTCAGGAGCCCCCCACCGAAGCCATCTCAGACTAAGCTCCGCAGTGGGTGTTGTGGGCTGAGAACTTTCCCCACAAATGATACCCACAGGGAACATTTAGAATGAGAGGTTACACAGAACTGGCTCGCATCTGGGAGACTGAAAGACAACCCTACGGAAAGTGCCTGGCCCCAGAGCTCCCCAGGGGGGAATCAGGATGCCCGAGAGACACTGCGGAGCTGCCCAGCAGCTTCCACCACCGACCCCTCCACCCCTCGGGGCTCCGGAGCCTCCCTCTGCGCTCCTTCCCCTCCTCTGCCATCCTGAAGTGGCGCCTGCTGCAGCCCTCCCTGGTTGCTTTATTTATTTATTTTGCACCAACAGGGTTGCTGCAGACTCATTCTCTCCTGGTTTAAAAAGAGAGAGAGGAAAAAAAAAAAAAAAGAGAAATGCTTTCTGGCTCTTCTCTCTACCTCGGTCTTGGCAGCAGCCGCTGCAGCAGCAACAGCAGCAGCGGCGGGCAGGGGGGCAGCGGGGAGAGAGGCGCACGGGGAGGTGCGGGGCAGAGGTGCAGCTCGAGTAGGACGGGCCCCCAGCCCCGCACAGATGCAGTGCCCAACTTGATGCCACCCTCCAGCTTCTCTGGTAAGTGCACCCACCTCCTGTCCCAGAGCTGCAGCTGCCCTTCTCCATAACGTTCTCAGAGACAAGGCCAGACCCGTCAAGGCTAGAGGGTCTGTGCCCACCCCAGGCTCAGCCAACCATCGATCCTGGCCCCATAGGACTTTGATGGGAAAACTAAGATGGCCCAGGTTCTCCGGAGGGAAGGACTCCAAGGAGACCTCCCTCCATTTCCCGGGTGCTCTCTCTACCTCTGGGAAGTGTTTTCCTGCAATCCGTGTGGATATTCCAGAAATCTTACCTCCAAGAGAGAGCCCCCTCCCGGTGTAGGTCCCCATGCCTCACTCAGGTCTGCTTTAAAGAGGATATCCAGGATCAGATGTGTCTCTGGACTGCCACATAGAGACAAGAAGAAGAAAGCTCCTTGTTCCTTGAGGGTGATGCCCCAGACCCCAGCCCATACAAGGAGAGAAAGTAGTGGTCCTGACACCTCTCTCTTCCTGCAGAGTGGCCGGAAGCCAGTCCTGTAGCCGTGGAGATTGGCAAGGGAAGTTTATGATTACATTAGCGACCTTTAAAGAGAAGGGGCCAGATCCCCAGCCCCTGGCCCAGCAGGTTTCGGAGACTAAGAGGACATTCACAGGAGTGGCAAGGAGGGAAGCTAGGTTACACGCTTCACTGCACTTTTGCTGAATGCAGGAAAGAAGGATGAGCAGGAACTGCAGCAGTAGTGATAAAGAGCTAGCTGTCAGGTTGACTTACCAGGGGAATGAGGGTGGCTGGGACATTTCTCTGCCTGGAGAACTCTTAGCATGCCAGCCATACCTGTTAGGTTGGGATGGGGAACAGAGGAGCCTGCTCAGCAGCCTCTGCTGTACCATTCTTTCTCATGCCCAAGCCTCAGTATGGTGTCCCTCTGCTCTCTGGGCCTCTTTCTTCAGTTTCTCAACTACTACAGTCCTCTGAAGTGGCTATAGGGTAGCCACCAGAATGATCCTTCTAGGAGAGGGTATAGAGTGGGAAATAAAGGGGAAGAAATCACACCATCTCTTAAACTGCCTCTCCTAAGTTCCACCTGGGAGAAAAAGGGCCGTGGGGTAGAAAGCTGACCCTGTAGGGCCCAGAAAGCCTGAGGCCTGAAAGGCCAAAGGTGATTGGGATCTGCAGCCAGAAAGAAACCGAGGTCTCCTGCCTCAGTTGGCTCTTGTCCTATCTCTGTAGCATCCCTTGCCAATTCCAGTACCTCCCCTCCCTTGGGGTCCCGGTTGTCACTAAACAACCTCTTCTCTTCCATCGCCTCAGTCAGGCTCCAGTGGTCATCCGCCTGATTCTGCCCAGGCCGCTGTCACCCAGAAACCACTTTAAGTTGACAGGCTGTGCACACAGACTGTGCCCAGAGATCTGCTGTGCCAGCCAAGGGATCCCTTGGTCCCCACCATAGCGTCTGGCCAGGCGCTGTCTCTCCTCACTTGTCTATGCCTACCTGACTCTCAGTCTGTCTCTTGTGTTTTTCTCAGGCAGCAGAGGCCAAAGGGGACAAGAGATCTCCCTTAGACTCACACACTAGGCTTGAATGAAAACACCACGAAGGAAGGGTATGAGAGAAGCCTAAGTCTGAGGACCAAGCAACAAAACTGGGGCATCTCTTGGGTCCCTCACACCCTAATGTCATCTATAGGGGAGGCGGGGCTGCCCTTGGGGTTCTTGTGAGGGATTCATGTACCCCCTGCATCCTGTGCTATATCTAATGTGCAGCTTGGCTGTCGTCCACAAGGTGTTCTGGGGAGATTGGATCTTGTTAGTCTGGGGCCTCAGGCCCTGGGCCAGGCTGGAGGAGGGCAGAGAGGCAATAAGTGGAGCCTGGGGGGCAGAGCTGAGGCCCACATGCTTCCCAGCCTTGGATGACTTAGTCAAGGTGATGCCTGTCTCCAATCAGGATCCAGGGATATGATCCCCCTTAAGCCGTAGGCAAAGCTGTGGGTAGATAACCTGGGAGAAGGGTGGGCAGAGAGGGACAGAGCAGACTTTGGGAGAGCAGCTATCAGGGAGAAGGGACCTGAGGTATTTCTGGATCTCACAGATGTAGGGACACTCAAAAGTTACTTCCCTGCTGCTTCCTGTCTCCCTCCCCTAAAACTTTCCCCACTTGACTAGGGTTCCAAGAGGTAGGGAACCTCAAAAGTTACTTCCCTGCTGCTTCCTGTCTCCCTCCCCTAAAACTTTCCCCACTTGACTAGGGTTCCATGAGCTAGTAAGCACTTGGCCTGTCACCCAGGTTGGGAGGGGGAGGAAAGTACAGAGTCCCCTTAGAGGAGCTCCAGAAGGCTCCAGGGAGGTGTGCACCAGAAATCCTCCCAGATCTGCACCCTAGTTGCTGGCCATGCTGAGATGGGCAGCTCAATATCTCTCTCTCCTCTAAGGAGGCCCAGGGAAGTCCAGGGTCCCCATCATCTGAAGCCACTTTCCAATAAGGGCCATGTCATCGTCTATTCCAGGATTGAAGAGGGGATGGCTGCGGCCACTACTCCAAAGCAAGCCTGGCCCCCGTGGCCTCCCATCTTTTTCCTGCTCCTCCTGTCTGGGGGGAGCAGCAGCAGCTGCCCTGCTGTGTGTGACTGCACCTCCCAACCCCGGGCAGTGCTCTGTGCCCACCGGCGACTGGAGGCTGTACCAGGGGGACTCCCGCTGGACACTGAGCTCCTGGACCTGAGTGGGAACCGCCTATGGGGGCTTCAGCGGGGAATGCTCTCCCGCCTGGGCCTGCTCCGGGAACTGGACCTCAGCTACAACCAGCTGTCCACCCTCGAGCCAGGGGCCTTCCATGGTCTGCAGAGCCTGCTCACCCTGAGGCTGCAGGGCAACCGTCTGCGAATCGTGGGCCCCAGGGTCTTCTCAGGCCTGTCTTCCCTCACGCTGCTGGACATTCGCCTCAACCAGATTGTCCTCTTCCTCGATGGAGCTTTCGGGGGGCTAGGCAGCCTCCAGCAGCTGGAGGTTGGGGACAACCACCTGGTGTTTGTGGCTCCGGGAGCCTTTGCTGGACTGGCCAAGCTGAGCACCCTCACCCTGGAGCGCTGCAACCTCAGCACCGTGCCTGGCCCGGCCCTGGCCCGCCTCCCAACACTAGGGGTCCTAAGGCTCCGAGAATTAGATATTGGGAGGCTGCCGGGAGGGGCGCTGCAAGGGCTGGGGCAGCTAAAGGAGCTGGAGATCCATCATTGGCCATCTCTGGAGGCTCTGGAGCCTGGGAGCCTGACTGGGCTCAATCTCAGCAGCTTGGCCATCACCCGCTGCAATCTGAGCTCGGTGCCCTTCCAAGCGCTGTACCACCTGAGCTTCCTCAGGGTCCTGGATCTGTCTCAGAACCCCATCTCTGCCATCCCGGCCCGGAGGCTCAGCCCCCTGGTGCGGCTCCAGGAGCTCCGACTGTCAGGGGCATGCCTCACCTCCATCGCTGCCCACGCCTTCCATGGTTTGACTGCCTTCCACCTCCTAGACGTGGCGGATAACGCCCTTCAGACACTGGAGGAAACAGCCTTCTCTTCTCCAGACAAACTGGTCACCCTGAGGCTGTCTGGTAACCCCCTGACCTGTGACTGCCGCCTCGTCTGGCTGCTCCGGCTCCGCCGCCGCCTGGACTTTGGCACATCCCCCCCTGCCTGTGCCGGCCCACAGAACGTCCAGGGGAAGAGCCTGAGGGAGTTTTCAGACATCCTACCTCCAGGGCACTTCACTTGCCAACCAGCCCTGATCCGAAAGTCCGGGCCACGATGGGTCATTGCAGAGGAGGGGGGGCATGCCGTTTTCTCCTGCTCTGGAGATGGAGACCCAGCCCCCGTCGTCTCCTGGATGAGGCCTCAGGGGGCTTGGCTGGGAAGGGCTGGGAGAGTAAGGGTCCTGGAGGATGGGACGCTGGAGATCCGCTCTGTGCAGCTACGGGATAGAGGGGCCTATGTCTGTGTGGTCAGCAATGTAGCTGGGAATGACTCCCTGAGGACCTGGCTGGAAGTAATCCAAGTTGAACCACCAAATAGCACTCTCTCTGACCCCAACATCACCATGCCAGGGATCCCAGGGCCTTTCTTCCTGGATAGCAGAGGCATAGCTATGGTGCTGGCAGTCGGCTTCCTCCCCTTCCTCACCTCGGTAACCCTGTGCTTTGGCCTCATTGCCCTCTGGAGCAAAGGCAAAGGCCGGGTCAAACATCACATGACCTTTGACTTTGTGGCACCCCGAACCTCTGGGGATAAGAACTCTGGGGGTAACCGGGTCACTGCCAAGCTCTTCTGACCTTTCCTTCCACACTGGGGACCCATCCAAGCCAGCTTCAGATACCAAAGGGGAAGAGAACCAAGGCTGCCTGGACCAGAAGCTAGTCCCAAACAGCATAGATCTCCCACGCCTCCTGCCTGCACCATGCCAGCAGCTAATGCCGCCTCCTGATAGCCGGCCTCCTTGTGCTTTTGCAGTTTGAGGATAGCGTTGTCATCTCTTCCCTGAGGGTCCCAGGAAGCTGAAGATATAGACCCTGTAGTCAGCCCAGTCCTCCCCCCACCACATACAGAGCCCAAAATATAACCCTCCAGTCTGCTAGTCTAAGCTCCAGGCTTCCTTCACACCCACCTACACATACCTTAATAACCAATACCAATCGCCAAGTACAGCCATAGATTACTTCAGAGATGGGGCTGGGAAGTGCCACTTGCTTCTTGGAGTCTCTGCTCCTCAACCAGGTGGTCTCTCTCTCTCTCTCTTTTCTGCTCTGTCCCCTCTCTAGGGGCAAATAACTAGGGCCAATGACCTCAAGCTAAGGAGAAGAGGATGTGACAGGGGAGTGTAGGACGGGAAGGAGGACAGACTACACACTGGCACTGAGTGTACATGAGCCCCACCACCTGCCTCTGTCTGTCACAGCATTAAACCTGTTGCCAAAAGGCCATGACAGTAGCAGCCACAACTAAATGTGATCTCTGGAGATTTCTTTAGTCTTTTCCACCCCTTATTTCTGTCAGATCTCCCCCTTCCTACCCATTCTGCCTGCCCATTGAGCCTGTATCCTAATGGCCTTGCCTGAATCTAACGAGCCTGACAACCAGGGGTTTACGCAAAAGGTTGCCCGCCATGCCTGGAGAGATCAGCACGCCCAGCCCATTTCAGTGTCAACCCTTTCCCCTGTACTCTCCCTCTCCGGAGTTGGAGGAGAGATCCTCTGCCTTCCAAAGGATCCCTCTGCAAAAATTTCAACCCAGGGCACCCAGCTCCTTCCCTTCTTTCTCACTCTGGTTGGAATCTCCCTAACATTCCTGATTGCAGATCCCTAGTGCCCTTGATGGAGAAGGCAAGAGAACTCCTAGAAAATGACTAACAAAAGCAAGAATCTGCAGCTGTCAAAGGAGAGAGACCCAGAACACAGCAGGACTAAGTTTGAAGGAACAAGGTGGGAGGGGCACTGCAAGCTGTAGTTAAAAGTGGAGGGAAGAAGCAGCAGCAGGAACCACCTGCCTTTCCACCGTCCTTCAGCAGTTTCCCCTGGTTCCGTGTTTAGTGCAGCCCCGGTGGGAAGCTGTCTTTGGATAGAGGTCGCTGTCTTATGGAGACCCCAGATGCAGAGGCAGAGTGGGAGAAGGAGATGCTGAATGCCTCTGAGTGTACTCCAAAGAGAGGCCAAAGCAGAGCTAGAAAAAGTAGAGATGCTGAGAGCTCAAGGGACAGGGCAGCAACGTCAGCATCACCGGAAGGGGAGGAGTGAAGGGAGAGGAAAGAAGCAGGGAGGAGGGGCCGAGAAGTGGATAGTCACGAGGTCCCTGGGAGCCTCTCTCTCTCTCTCTGCAGCAGCATCTGCACAGCGTCCTTAGTTCTCCTCCACCCTCAATAGCCCCCACCCACCCCTCACCCAACAGTATGCAAAAGCATAATCAGCTTCCTAGCCATTCCTCCTGCCCTTGTCCTTGCCCTGAGGAGACTCATTAGGAGATTCCCAGCCCAAACTGTCCCTAACAGGTGGGAGAAGCTGGCACCATATGGGGGCAGCCAGACTTCACCAGCAGGCAAGCTCTTCGGTGGGGCAGAGGTGGGAATCTGGGGGCGGGGGGCTGTGGGCAGAGGCGAATGTGAGAGAGAACCCGGCAGTTTGGAGAGTGAGGCTGGAGGATCACACAATCTTGAGCATCCGGAGCCTCCAACCTTGCTCTCGGCACCGTGCACACACAATTCCCTTAGCATTGCAGCAACCTCCCCTCTCCAGTTTATTAGACAGCCCAAAGGTTTCCCTGGGGCACAGCCCTCTCCCTCATTTCTAAAATCTTCCACCAGTAGCTTGTGAGACTGGGACTTGTGGGGGTCAGGTGCTAGAGGTTTTCATACTAGTTGCCCACACTGCAATTCAGAAAAGGGCAGAAGCAGCATTGCTGTTCAGAGAAATCTACTCTGGGAAGGCCCCTGAGGCAGTGGGGAATGGATGACATGTGTCTGGATTGGGAGTTGCTGCTGCCTGAGTCCCACAGCCGCCAGAGCAGCCCAATAGAAACAGAATGAGTCACTTATGTGATTTCAAGTTTTCTAGTATCACATTAAAAAAGCAAAAGAAACAGATACAATTAATTTTAATACTCTATTTTATTTAACCCAGTGTACCCAAACTATGATCATTTCAACATGTTATCTATATAAAAATGAGTAATGAAATATTTTACATTATTTATTCATATTAGGTCTTTGAAATCTAGTGTATATTTTACACTTACAACACATTCCAATTTGATAACTAAATTCTCACCAGAAATATCTGATCTGTATTTAGGTTTCATAAAATTCACTGTTGAGAAAGTCAATTCACACGTCCAGGTTGTTCCAACCAAGTTGTTCCATATTAAAAGTTTTCCAATAACTAAATCAAGTATTGGTTTTAACATTTAAATTAACTGAAATTAAACAAATTTTAAATTCTACTCCTCAGTCACACTAGCCATCTTTCAAAGTGCTCAGTAGCCACATGTGGCCAGTGGCTACAATATTGGACAGCAGAGCTCCAGACACTGTAACTCTGGGTGTAGACTAGGGCCTCCTCAGCAGAGGTGGGCAAAGTGTCCCTCGAGAAGCACATTCAACCTAGAGGAAATACCTGTGGGGTTCCCCCACTACCACCCCTTGCTCTCCTGACATGGCCTTTCCAGAACACCTTCAGAGAGGGACACTAGTTACCGTAACAAGGTTAGTGCAATGAGCACTTCCACAGCTTGTCCAACCATCAGAAAGCCAGCCCCTTACGCCATCTGCCTGGAAAGGCTGCCCTTAGCTCAGGGGTGTGTGTGTGTGTGTGTGTGTGTGTGTGTGTGTGTGTGTGTGTGTGTGTGTGTGTGTGTGTGTGTGTGTACAAGTGTGTGACGGCAACCAGGGATGCAGGCGTGTGGTGTGTGCACATGTGCAGGGATGTTATGGTCCACATCAGAGGCAATCCAATGGCAGCTCTCCCCTGGAGGGACAGTCGTGGAGATAGAAGAAAAATAACATTTATTCTGTGTTAGTGGCTACATGTATGTTTTCTTATTTAATCCTCACATCAACCCTATAAGACAGGGAATCCTATAAGACAGGGAATCTTGGCTGATGGAACTAAAGGTCAAATAGATTAACTTGCTCGGGTACACAGAGCTGGTTAGTAAGGGAGCTGCTTCCCTTACTCAGGGCTAACTCAAAATCCAAATGCTTTCCACCACACTGCCATACTGCTCGGTCACTGTCTGCTCTTATATCCCCCTTCCCCAGGGTCTCTCAGCTGCAGGAACTGACCTGTGAGAAAGGTAGAATCCAGGGGTCATCCCCAGCCCCACCCACTCTGAACAACTCTTTTCAGGGGAACTGGGGTCAGTTGTTGGTCCTCACCTTCCTTCAATAACTCTAATGCACCTGATTCAGGAAGCTGAGGATTGGTTGTTAGTTTTTAATCTTTCTTCTCAGTCTCCCCCAGCATCCATCTCTCAGAGAGAGGCAGGAGACTCTGGGTAGGACTTTTGCTCCAAGCAGTGAGTGTGGTGATGATTCAGGCCGGCGAGCATGTGAGATCAGAGGACTCCTGAGTCCTCTTCCTCCAAACTGCTTTGTAAAGGGGAGTTAAGGAAGAAGACTTAGAGCTGGATGGTGGTGGCCAGAGAAGCTGAGGAGAATGTCTCTCTCCTAGGACACCCTGCCGCAATTCATCAATCTGATCGAAAGACGAAAGAGTAGCACCAGTATAATTTCTGATACTAAGGCCCACACTCCCAGTTGCTGGTTTCTGGTGAAGAGCCTTGAGTGACGGGGGAAGAAGGGGTGATTCCTACAATGGACAAAGGGAGTGTGCTGTTTTCCAAAACCTCAGATAGCTGAATATCATTTGAATGGTTTACATGTTATCCAGGAAGGGAACTCTGTAAGCAGCCAAGGCTCTAAACAAGGCTACTGTGTTTGAGAAGCCCTCCCTGCCCAGCCTTTAGCTAAAGTCTACTTTCCTGCTTTGGCTTACTGAGTGGAAACACCTGCCCACTGAACTCTCTGGACAACCCACACTCTGTGTTAATTAGTTTCACCTACTGCCACCTGCACCTTGCTCAGAACACCCTTCAGGGAAACAGAACTGGACTCTTCAGAGCAGGAGATGAGAATAAAGAAATCACAATTCACCCAATCCTAGTCGCTCACAATTCAATCTTTGAATCGTGGTTTGGGCCCTAAGAGGGGGAATGAGATGACAAATCCCAAATACACAGTGACTTGAGAGTGAGTTTGGAATCATCTCACCTAAAGTTATCCTTTCTACTCTCCAGTCTCCCTACCCAACCAATTAGAAGTCCATCCTCCTTCAGAAAATTCCCAGGAAAAGTGATTACACCTGGCTTTTCACTGCTCTGATTAAGAAATTAATCCTGTGGTTTAATTTTTAATTTTAATCCCTCTTTTTGGACTTCCACTTCATTTCCTCTTCTTTGCTCACCAGCTCCCATCGGAGCTGGAAGATGATGAGCCCATAAAGTAGGCCTGTGCTTTTTTTTTTTTTTGCGGTACGCGGGCCTCTCACAGTTGTGGCCTCTCCCGTTGAGGCGCACAGGCTCCGCGGCCATGGCTCACGGGCCCAGCTGCTCCACGGCATGTGGGATCTTCCCGGACTGGGGCACGAACCCGCGTCCCCTGCATCGGCAGGCGGACTCTCAACCACTGCGCCACCAGGGAAGCCCGGGCCTGTGCTTTTTATAGCAACAATGAACACTCTTCCTTAGGTCTGAACTACTCTTTACCTTTTTAAAAGTAAAAAAAGCTATAGCAATCAAGGCACTCAAATACCTAGAAATAATCTTAAAAAAAATATATGTAAATTTTACATGACAAATAATTTAAAACGCTACTGATGGGACAT